GAAAATGATTGCTCACATCACAGTTTTTGGTTAGGGCAGCCAATTAATGTTAAATCTTGCCAGGGTTGGTGGAGATTGCAGGAGAGAGGGGAAATTGAGTAGGAACTAGGTTAAAGGTTATCTTAATTCTATGAAATGATAAACATGAACTGAGTACCTACTATGTGCCATTTGTTATTTGGGTAGTGGTAACGTGAAAGAACTAGAAACAACTGTCTAGCAGTACAGTATAGAACAGAGAGGTTCAGTGAGAAGATGCAGGACCACTGAAACTCAGAATTAATATAGTGACTTCCTTTCAATACAAAGGGTAGACAATCCAAAATGATTTAATAATTGAAGCACCTTCATATGGAGACCTACAAATGGAAATAAAATCAGTTAGATGCTATCTTGAGGAATCTATTATAAGATCTGCAGATTTACTTCAGGAAACACCAGTCAATATTTCCATGTCTTATCCTTTCTAGGATGTACCTTAAATGTCCCTCAATTGCACATGGTGCTCCTCATTGGGTATGTCCACATCCTCATTTCAGTAAAAGTCAAACTTATCAGATAAGCCACAGTCCCATAGTTTCTCCATTTCCAGCTTCTGGGAGAGAATTTTTTTACTTGCTCCTTAAAGCCTTACTAACTGTCCTATACTCAACTGTCACATTTCTCACCTCTTCCAATTCAGAGGTTCCTGGCCTCCCCACAGGAACTCCAATCTCGCTGCAGCATTAGGAGTCACAGTAGATACAAATATTGGAACATTCTCAAGGGACAACGTGTGATTTTGCTTAAATTCCGCCAAGAATAGAGATAAGCAATCCCATGTCACGTTAGATGAGTAGTGAAATCTATTCCCTTTTGGGGAAAACAGCCCCTCATACTTACGCTGATCTTCCTCACCAAAGAAACATTAAAATCACCTTAAGAAGAGTGGTCACACCTTCCTCTATTCTATACTTATTTTCAATAGTTGCTCAAGTTCCAATAGATGATGATAAATCTGGCTATACCTTGGTATGGACTTGGAAGTTAGACAAGGAAAGGGGTCAATTTGAGATGGGAAGGAGAAAAGGAAATAATATTTGTTCTTCAAAATAAAATTAAACAATTTTTAATAGAAATGCCCAAGTCTAAACATTTTTCTGATTTCAACAAGATATTTAATGTTACACATTACAGGCGGCAAATGGAAGTCAGGGTAGAAACCTAACCCAGGAAGCTAACTAGTGTGTGTGTAGCTAAGCCCTGGGCCTGGAGGGATCCTGTTGTGCCCATGAAAGGGAGCCTCTGGGTCTTTTCCTTGGTCTCGTTTCATGATCCCCCCGCAAGAGTGGGGGAAATGTGAATTGAAACAATGGGGTGGAGAGTGTAAACTTTATGGATTAGTTGACTCCAGTGACCAGGTTGTCTAAGTCATGGCCCAAGATTGCTCAAGTCCTATGTGAGGCAGCAACTCTTCACTAGAACAACTGATTGATTCTGTTTTGCCTTCAAATACTTCCTCTGAGAGGAACATGGAGGGGACAGGCTGGTTCCTGTCCTGGAATGACTTCTTGGCATTTTTATACTAAGAGGCATGTAGAGCTTAGGAGATTTAGAAAGCAAACAAGACAAATCCACTGGAGAGAAACCTCCTAACGAACCCCACCAGAGCCAGATGGGCCAAAAGGGCCCAAAGAGAGTTGCCGAGCAGTTCATCCAGAGTGGAGGAGACCTCAGCGCTATCTAGTAGAGTTTTCTGTGAGGTCTGAAGCTCCTCTCCCCAAGCTCATGCTTGGCTTCTGTCTATCAGATTTTTGGATGTTCTCCCTAAGGTCTCAGTTCAAGTCCACTTCTATTTCTTTTGTCTTCTTGGTTCTGCTGCCTTTAAAGTTAACTGCTCTCATTTTAACCTCTTGCAAGAGAACATCACTGGATGAGATGTTGGAAACCCACAGTTAGCTTGCTTTTAGGAAATGTGGATCTAGTTAGAGAGAAGTTGGTAGAAATCCACCTTTACCAACTTATTCCTGCTAAATTGCTTTTGATTTGTTTCTCCAAACTAAATTCATTTATGACAGCCTTGAAGTACATCTTCAAATCCCCAGATATCGTATATCAGAGGGCAAACTCTGTGATCCCTAACCATCAGACTCAAACCACTGTTTTAAAAGGCTAGAAATCATTTCAGGCTCAAGTTGGTGGGAATCCCAATACCGGCATAGACAATAAAAGCCTTCCACCCCTCCTCTACAAACAAGAGTGTGGTTGACAAACCCAAATTTGATCTGACTCACGTTAAACTAGAGCCAATCTGTACACTATTCATTCCAAATAATAATAGAGCAAATAAATAATTCCCCAAAGGATGCCAAGCCCTGGAGTGACGTGCATCAAAGAGGTTTGCTGCCCCTGCAGGTTTACCCACGTGCAGTGCATTAGGCCCTCTCTTCTTAGCCCAGAGCAGCTCAGAAGTTCCGCAGGCTCCTGGGACCTGCTAAGGGGGTGACATTGGACCTGGGTGAGATCAGGCAGCTGTGGCTTCCCTGGGGAGACTTTTACCCCTGGATATGTATCTGGAAGGGTCCTCAAGGTTAAGAATGGAAGATAATGTTTACTCCGCTTGACCTTTAATTTGTACACACTAAGGTCCACAAGATTATCTGTTCCGTCTAAACAGCACATCCTTTGCTGGGAGAAAGATTTTTTGTTTGCTTCATGGGATTATGTTTGTTTGTTTGCATTTTTCTATTTCCAACTTTTTAATGAGAGTCCATCAGATTAATTTACTAAGCTTTCTTTATGATTCAAATTTACCCATGTCAAGCTAAATAAATTGAATTTCCATCTTAACTGGCCCACTTAGTAGAAACAAACGCACATGTTAATGTGTGGAAAGCTATAAACATATAGCATACATCGATTACTATGTTGATCTAAAAAGCAGGACACACAATTATTTGTGCAACTATTTTCAAAGGTTAAATCAGAAAAACTATAAAAGTGTATCAGAGTGTTAACAGTGGTGTCCATTTTGAGCAGGATTATAAGGCATTTTTTTCCTTCTTCATAACTTAAAAAATTGTAATATCTTGTAGCATGGACATTTTTCTAGAATGAGAAAAAATAATATGTTTCTCCAGGTATATATTTGTGTTTTCCTAATAACAAACATAATAATCAAAAAACCCTTATTTTTTTCACATCATTAAAATTAATCAAACTTTTCACAAGTTTGAAATGAATTGAGCTGTATGTAAGATTCTGTGTTTTGCCAGAGTCATTGAATTTAACAGTTAACTATACATGGTAATCAAGAAAAGAGGATGAGAAGAAAGGCTTTACATTATTGTTTCAAAACTTAAGTACCTCCACCAGTTAAAATAACGTAATAAACTCCCTGCTTTCGTTCCTATAGCAGCTTCAGGCTTCCTCATTTGATCACCTTGGACCATATCTAAAGAAATATCCTGTACCCAGAAGGCAACATTCTTTTATAGCAAATAGTTTTTGAAGAACTAAATTGGCCCTTCCGTAAGATTCTCCAAAGCTACAGGATATTTTTTTAAGCCAAAGATCCAACTTCTGACTTAACATGGACACCCCATCTGGCCAACTGGAAGATGCCCAGTGGAAGCCTTCAGATGTTCTAATGCTCAAAAATGAAGGCCACTTTGTGTTACAACTTTAGCGATGATTCTCTGCTATGGGGAGCAATAATTCCATGGGCAGGTTTAGAACAGGCCATATTATTAGCAAATAAGGAAGGCCATTATGAAAACATTATTTTTAAGTTTTACATGGTCTCCATTTGTTTTATCCTGAGTGGAGACTTTCTCTGTTCCCTAAGATTGTTACTGAGATACGTTCCGTATTGATTGAATCTGGACTCTGAGGCAAGAGTCCTTGGCTCCTTCCTTAGGCAGCCCAGCATCTCCCAGGAAGCCACACAGATGGATGATCCCTGCTCTGCTTCCCTTATGGTGTGGAAAGGCACATCCAAGGGAAAAACAGATGTTCAAACCTTAAATAAGAGAATACTCTAGCATTCAGAAAGCATATTACATTACATCCTTCTCATCGTAAGAAGGAAGTTTCCTAAACACTATTACTATCACTTACACCCTCGCAGGGGAAGGCTCCAGGAGAAGCACCGGTAAGAGGCCTGAGATCACACCTGACAAAGGGCCTTGTATTCTTAAGGGGCTCAGTCAAGTCCATAGCAATTCGGATGGTGACTCTGCAAATTTCTTTTATAAATAATCCAACATTGTAAATATGACTCGCACACGAAGATACAGGAGTGATCAGCTTTTGCACATAGTAGGAAGTGTTATCGTCAATGACCTTCGTTGTGTGTTTTAAGCTATGCATGTCACGATTAGAGAGTTCTGATTTCTTGCCTGCTCTCCCAATTTATGGAACTAAACACTAGTGACTGGTCACTCAAAATGAGGTCCCGAGGCCAGCAGCTGCTATCGCCAGGGAGCTTGTTAGAAAGGCAGACCCTGAGAGTCCACCAGAGACCTACTGAATCAGAATCGCATTTTCGCAAGATCTCTAGGTGACTGACATGCACATTGAAGTGTGAGAAGCACAGCTATAGTATAAAGTGCTGCTAATCAATTGTAAAAACCTAAATTTAGTGAGAATAACCGATTGAAATTTTTGGTATGCATCCTTTACAACTCTTAGGAAGCCCTATAACATAATATTTAGTAAAACAATTCATAACCATTTTAGTTTAACCTTTTTTACAATTGTCTACTCACTTTTTTTTTTTCACTCTGACTCCGATTTCCTTTTCTTCACACCTGTCACACATCTTTCCTCTTACTCACTTCATTTGGTCAAACTTACCTTTCAGCATCTTAGGCAATCTCTAGGGGTCCTGAGAAAATGATAACGACAAGCAGCAGAACTGAGGAAAGAGACAGGCAGAACTGGCCCCACTGATTTCATTAACAGTAGCTTATGTTTAGTGTAGCAGGTTACAGTTTGTTACGATTTACCTTTACCACCAGCCCGTGAGGTAGGCAGAGCATCTATCATCACTATCACCCTCAACACCATCATCATCAACATCATCACCAGCTTACAGATGAAAACCCTGAGGTTCCAGGAGATACAGGGACAACTCAGCTTCCGACAGAACTGCGATGAGATAAATGCGGGCTCCTGAATCCAAACCTGAACTCTTTCCTCTGAGCTGACGGCTCCATGATGGCAGCAGGGCCACAGCACATGGCTATGGGTGTCACCAACCTCAGCAATGAGATGGCTGCACCTTGGCTTGGGAGTGCCCTGTAGGTAAACTGCTCTCCTAGACACTGTAGGAAAGGCCAAGGTCAACAGTCTGATTCAGGGAACTTACATGTCAAATTCCCTGGGGCCTGGAGCACGATCACATGTTCCGTGTGTTTCTTTTCAGAAGGGGTTTTGGATCTGCATTTAGAGAGAACAGTCTGAGACTAGAGAGGGCAGAAGCATTTCAAGAAGAAGAAAGTCTCACCTAGGTTTCTGTTTGTTCGTTTTCTCATGCCAGGTGGACATGAGAAATAAAGCAGTGGGGGAGGGAAAGCAAGGGTGGACTTTCATGGGGGGCGGGTGGGCAGGGCTGCATCCCCCTAATCAGCATTTCCATTATCCTCATCAAATACTCTGTAGCAGTCAGACTCTGGGTTCTGTCCTTCACACTCATTTTCTAGATTAATATTCATGTCCATCCTAGGAGCTATTAGTGCTGTCATCTTAGGGATAAGGAAATTGAAGCAAGAAAGACCACGATATTTGCTAATGGTCACACAGCTAGTAAGAAGCGTAGCTGTGGTTTACCTTGATTTCTTTAAACTTAGAGCTCAAATATTGGAGCATTACAGCCAATGTTTCTAATACATCACCTGCATCCAGGTGCCCTGTCACATGTCCATCTTCCTTGACTCCACCTCTCAAATCAGAATCTCTGGGGATGGGCTCCAGGCATCTGGATGCTAAGACATGACTCCAGTTATTCTGATAAACACCGAAGAAAGGAAACCACTACACTGGGTGATTTGGCCGCTTACTCTGCATACACTGGAGTTTAGGTTTGACATGAGAGGCAACTGAGAAAGAAAATTAATTAGTCAGCTGAAGATATGGCATTATATTATAGAGGAGAAAAAAATATCCAAACTAGGAATTTTAAGATCTTTTAAGATCGTCAAGATTCTTGTATTAAATAATGGGGTCATCTTAACCTCTTTGAGTTTGTATCCTTATCAATTAAAAAAAAATCCTGTTCAGCCTACCTAAGTAGAATTGTTATGAAAATATGATGAGAAAATAAATGTTATTAGTTCTGAAAAGCAAAGGCCTGTAGCCACAATGAAGTTATGATGAAAATAATGTCCCAAGTGTTCAGTCTTAAGGCTTTGAATAACACAGTTTGTTAAAGAAGAGGTAAGGTTTCCTTCTCCTTTATGCAGGTGAGTCAGAGACCATGCAAGGTCGAGAGCCTTAAAATAAACAAGGTGAAATATGATTAGGAAGACGCTCCAGAGAACTGGCAGACCTATATGATGTTTGCAATAAAGGAGGTAGAGGAAAAGATAGGAGAGCCTTCTTCTAGAGGTTCAAGGTTGAGAATGGGGTGCTTGGGTTTAAACAGGAAATTGGTACCAGGTGATGTATAGAGGGATTGAGTATAGAAGGCAGTCAAGGTCATTGGAACATGAGGAAGAGCAGAGAAAATGGTATTCAGAGTCATTTACTTATTTTTTCACTCATTCATCAGATATTCATTGGGCATTTCAATGGTCTCACTCTAGATATGCTAGGGTTCTGGAGAGGAATGAGAGAGTGTCTGCCTTCTAGGGGTGCACGGTCTGGGTGGGGTGGAGCTGGTGGTAAAAGTGAGTAATTCCAAGAGGCAAACGATGTGCTTTTCCAGTGTTGGCGCTGCTGGGAAAGGAGGAACGGAAGTCGCCGGAAGGGTGGGTGGAGGGGGGAATTAGAGCGCCACCTAGAGGGAGGATTTGCCTGGGAAAACCCTCCCTTGGCGCCGTTAATCTCAGACTCATTCAGTTTCACCCAAATTCCACAGCTGAAGGTAGAGGACTTGCTATCGTTCCCTCCATGTCTGTGATTTCATTGAAGAACAGTCATCTCATATCTCAGTATAAAAAGTGGAAGAAGTGGGAATAAAAGGTGAGAGATACAGAATGCTATTTGTGCCTTACAATGATGTTTTGGTTTTTAATAAGCACAATTCTTAGAATTAAGAGCCCAAGTGTCAGTTACTATGACTTACTTCATTCAAGATTAATATGTAACAATAGATTTTTTTCACTAACTATGAAGTTTCAGAATCTAAGAACTGTGCTTTTAGGAAACTCATTATGATGATGTTTTTATTTGAAATATCACTTTATCTTAAGCCTACTATGAAGAAATGGCTCCAAAATAAAGCCCAGTAGAAAAAATTAAGTTATTTCTCAAAATATCTTAAGCATGAACTATTCACTGTATTCCCTGCTTACTATGAAGAAATAGGGATTTGTGGTGAATGTGATCTACATAATCAAATCTGCAATATTACCATAATTATAATGCCCTCTGATAACGTTACATTATAGTTATCCTTCTAAACCACAGAAATCTTAACTTGTCATTTACCAAATACTAAAATAGGAACAAAAGGCTTGTTATATTTGACAATCTAGAAAGATCGTATGACACCTATGCCATGTGGAAAACGATTCCACATACAAGACTGGGAAGAAGTGCATGGAAAAATCGCCCAGTGGATGGAAAATTGAATGGGCCATAAACATCAAGAATGGAGAACTTTCCAAAGTGAGGCTGTGGCCCAAATTCCACTCAAGCCAATTGACTCTGGAAGGAAAAAAGCTGGCCCAGCTTGTAAAGAGAAGCTCCATATCTGAATATTATTTTACCCCAGGGCAATGACATGGTTTTGTGTCAAAAGGAAACAAAAGTTCTCTGATTATTCATTAGAACTGCAGCCAAAAGAGACAACATTCATCACCCTTAGAGGAGCTCCACTCAGCATCCAAACAAGGGCTGTTGGGAGGCCTGACTCACCTGATGCTTAAAGATGAGCATCTCTTTAAACTGAACTGACCTGCACTCAGGTGTAAACCAGCTTGCTCCCTGATCACCCTGGGTGGTCTCAGTTTGGGCATTACCTTTAGGAGGGAAGTCAAGGACAGCCATCCTATTCACTATGTCACCATATTAAAAAGTGTAAGTGTTGGGAGAACTGGAATTTATAATCTGAATTCTAACTACCGGCCCTCAATCCACCATTAACTAATACCCCATTTCGAACAAGCCACCCAAACTCAGTCTCCTGAGAAAATTTTGAATAGTAATAAAATACCACATGGCAAATAAGAATATGATCAGAATTCACATGAGAATGTCATTTAAATAAGAAAGCAAGAGTATCTTCAAAAGGAAAAAAATATTTAAACCCCAAATACTTAATTTCTAGGATTGATTTTATTGATAAAAGTGATTAAATTATTTGGGGACCTAATTTCTCTCAAGTTATTTTCAATAATCCGGTTCTGTGAAAATTCAAACCAGGCCACTAGGTTTTCTAGAGTAAAAACATCAAAAATGTTCATTAAAAAATGTGGGTTCTGCCACATATTGCTATATGTGAAGACTAAATAGGTACATGGAAATTTTCAATAAATCAGTAAATTTATTATACCCAATACCATGAAAAGAGGTCCAGGAAACCACAAAGTTATGTATTATAAACATAATATATTGTACTATAAATATTTTAAATATATGTTATCATCCTCATTCTATATAATACCCCATCGAAAAGTCAGAAAATAAAAAGTCACATATTAACTGTAGTTTCTTTTCTCTCACACTCTAGCTTTGAAAATATAATACATTTGTACCGACAAGCAAACATCTGGAACACAGCACCTAATGCGTTAAGTATGGCTTCAGGTGGGTGTCCTTATAGAGGCCTTTCCCTAAATGATAAAAAAAAAAAAAGTCCTAAAAGAGGCCTGGGAACAGGAGGAGAGGAACGATCAACTTCTACAGATTTAAAATACGATTAGAGAATTAAAAGCACCAAAGTTTCTTAAAGCACAAAATAATGGTATTAGAGGGTTTTTTCACAACATAATTTTTCAAAAGCCCATCCTCTAATTTAAATGAGAAAGTACAAATATTGCCACTCTAAAATAACTCATGTCCCAAAGGGAGGAAAAAAGAAAACACCACTCCAATTTTCTTAGAATTTAACTGGACTATAATTTATTTTAATGATTTGGTCTTTAGAATGCATAATTTACTTAAAAAGGAACATAATGAAGATGGAAAACAGAAGCTTTATTTTCTACGCTGGGAGACACCTCTTTTGTTTCACTCCCATTACCTTTCAATATTTCAAATATCAGTTCATCCCCAGATGATCAAGGGGCTAAAAAGGGCTTTGCTGTTTCGTCAACTCCACATTTGCCTGAGATCATGAAATTGCTTCGTTATATTATTAGTTCGAAAGCGCCTGTTGATAGTTCCTGGACCTCCTCCCAGGCCCTTCCCTCCAACACACACCCGTAGGTCACCTTTCTCAAGCTGTTAAAGCAAAATGCCTCAGTAACCCTCCAGATGAAAACAAAAGATGCCAAAAGACTGGAACTTTGATTTCTCTCGAATTGTTCATTCTCCCCAACCATCACCTCCCACCACCACATGCCACTCCTACATTTTCAATGTATCCCCCAGACTTACAGAGCAGCTGTTAACAGAGGTAGGGGTGAGTTAACAGGAGTGTAGATAAACTCAGTGTGTGTTCTGGTGTTCCTGCGTGTTCTGTTAAAGAAAAAGATGTGTGTGTGTCTGTGTGTGTGTTGAAGAGAGAGCAAGTTTTATGTTCTGTGTGTTAAGTAGAGAAGGGAAGGAGTTAAATACATTCCTCTCTTTTAAAATATTTTAACTTATTAGAAACATCAACTCAGAAACTAAGAATCTAGCAGATTGGTAATTAATATACCCAAGCTTTATGTGGGTGAAATAAAAAGTTCAAGTGTCTCTGTACAGGGCAGTTCTTAAAATTATTCAAATGAGAAATGGGATTCAAGGTGTGTCTTTTAAACTTTGGACGTAACCATTTCTAGAACCATTCCTGGGCTGGCAGGCAGGACAAGGAGTGCCCGGATGGTCTGCGAGGGACCCGCAAGGTCAGCTGGCACTGGGAGGCACAAGACCCCACTTGGTACCTAGAAATGCCAGCTAAGACGCATCAGCTGGCAAGCCCTGGGGCAATCCGGGAAGCAGGGGAAGGATGGGAAAATGAGCCCTGCTTGCTCAGGCTGCCTGACTTTCTCTTCTTCTCTACCCAGCCACAGACACACCTACTAACTCAGGTTTTACAAAGAGCAAAGCCCCTGCATGTTCTCCATTCCGCTGGAAGCAGGAACACAGTCCAAATGCGCACATAACATCACAAATGCTTTCCTTCCACCCATCTATGGGCACCCTGACCATCCTGACCAGACGCCCCCAAAATATGCCTCTGGAGCAAATCAGTTTTGAAAGCAGCCGCACCAGCAAAGACACCAGCAGCCCCTCTCCCACTCCTACCACGATCATCCGCGGGCGCCCAGAAAAGTGGCGGAGGCTGAAGGGGAAGTCGATCGGAGAGCCCTCGGAGGAACCGCGCATTCCCTTCCACTTACTTGGAGTCGCAAACGAGCCGCGTGCGCTCAGGCTGCCTTTGTTGGTCGGGGCGAGGCTTTCTGCCCGGAGTCCAGGTACCCGAGTCACTGCTGCTCGCGGCCGCGCCTGTTCCCCGCCGCCGGCACGCACGGTGGCTCACTGGTCTCTTTCTTCCACTCTCCCCACTTTGGCTTTTCCTCTGCTCTGCGGCTCCCTTGGCGGGATTTTCGGACTGGAAGGCGGGGAACCAGACGGATCCTGCCTCGGAGTGGAGCACGCCCTGCCGGGGAGGGGACGGAAGGGAAATGGAGAATGGGAGGGAGGAGAGGAGCTGGCAGGGAGAATACGAGGGCTGGGCGAGGGGGGGGCGCGCCTTTCCCTCGAGAGCTGATTGGGAAACTTATTAAAAGCAGGGTTCACCAGGGGCAGTATCTCCCCACCCGCGCCAGCACGCGGATTTGAACCCAGAGGCCAGAGGATGAAGCCCTGTTTCGTTTTTAGCAGAGACAGATGCAATATCTCTTTCCCAAACTTTGTGCATGACCTCTTCTTTAGGTGGGTGCGTACCCCAGTTAATCAAGTAGCGCGTCTTAAATGGATGATTGATGGCATCTTAAACTACAGTTTGGGCCCCCGGCGATTCTTTTTCAATGATATTCAGGGTGGAAAAGCAGTCTTCAAGACCAGGCTCTCATTTGTCCCCACGTCTATCGCCCTCGCCCCGCACAGCTTCAGTCACTTCAGCTGTCAGTCCCATCCCACCTGCGCATCACCACATGTGCAAAGGACTTTTTTGCGCTTGTCACAGAGTGACAGATGTCTGAAAGTTCCCAATTAAAATGCCACTTTCCTTTAGGGGGCTCTTTCCTTTTCTGGCTTCCTTGGTGCATTTAGTGACCTATTTAGTGACATGCCTTTGACACCCAAGAATTTAGGGGGTTAACGAACGTAGCTCGAACTCCGAGGTTTGTAAAACTCAGAGGCTGGACTTCTGTGTCTTTCTGGAATTACATTTTTCTTCGAATGAGGAAAGAAACTAAGATAATATACCTAGGATTGTTTAAGTAACACACAGATGAGTATCTGTGATATAGATGAAAGTATTGCGCAAAAATGATTAAGTATAAAACAAATTTGCCCAAACATTCTCAAAAAGGAAATTGTGAGGTTCTCCTCCGCTCATCCGTTTTTTCCTGCTCTTCGTCTTGCTTTCACTGCCTTTCAGCTTATCATTTGATGGTGCTCACCCCAAATGTGGTTGCAAATTATACTTCCATTTCCTGTAGTTCTGAGGTAACATCCTTTCAATTCAGTTTGATAAATATCTAGTAAGGGCCTTATATAACTCTTCTTTTATTAATTTTTATTGGAGTATATATAGTTGCTTTACAATGTTGTGTTAGTTTCTGCTGCACAGCAAAGTGAATTAGTTATATATATATATATATATAAAACCCCCCTCTTTTTTAGATTTCCTTCCCATTTAGGTCACCACAGAGCATTGAGCAGACTTCCCTGTGCTATACAGTAGGTTCTCATTACTTATCTATTTTATACATAGTAGTGTGTATATGTCAATCCCCATCTCCCAATTCATTCCACCCCCCCTCCCTGCTTGGTTTCCATAAGTTTGTTCTCTACATCTGTGTTTCTATTTCTGCTTTGCGAATAAGTTCATCTGTACTATTTTTCTAGATTCCACATATAAACGTTAGTATACCATATTTGTTTTCCTCTTCCTGACTTACTTCACTCTGTATGACAGTCTCTAGGTCTATCCACGTCTCTGCAAATGGCACTATTTCATAACTTTTTATTGCCGAGTAATATTCCATTGTATATATGTACCACATCTTCTTTATCCACTCCTCTGTTGATGGACATTTAGGTTGCTTCCATGTCCTGGCTATGGTAAATAGTGCTGCAATGAACACTGGGGTGCATACATCTTTTTGGATTATGGTTTTCTCTGGGCATTTGCCCAGGAGTGGGATTGCACGGTCATACAGTAGTTCTATTTTCAGTTTTTTGAGGAACCGCCATACTGTTCTCCATAGTGGCTGCACCAATTTACATTCCCACCAACAGTTTAGGAGGGTTCCCTTTTCTCCACACCTTCTCCAGCATTTATTGTTTGTAGATTTTTTGATGATGGCCTAAGTGCCTTATATAACTCTTAAAATTTACATGTGCTTTGAACTCAAGCTAAACCCCAAAATAAGAAGCATTGTTTTGTGGGAAGTAGTTCTTAGAGACTTAGGGACTCTGACGGCTATGTAGACAAGTGTACCATGGAGGAGCTGGCTGGAAGAGCTGTTTCTACAAGCAGTGCTTTGAATCAGTCAATCAATCCATCCATTTTTTCAAAAGCAGAGGCATCAGAAATTCACTTACACACCTCTAGTCTGTCCCCATAACCAAACTCTCCGTACACCTGCCACACACCATCCTCACATGAAATAAATGACTAAGGAAGTATCTTCCTTCTACACACAGACTTCCTGTTGCCTGTTTCCCTTTTGTGATCCCATTTACCCAATGAAATACAGCAATGTTTGTTTTAATCTGATTTTACCTGTATAAATTGTGGAGGAATGGACATTATTACTTTTTATTATTATTTTTCCCAGACACTTTACCGAAAGAGTCTTCTCCATATTCACTCTCACTCCATAGGGGTGAAATTTCCAGGCTATTAAACAAGGAGTTATCCATTTTCTCTACCTTCTTAAACATTATCTTAACATCTACAAATGTAACATGTGGCTACCAGTTATTATGGTGTTTATCTATAGGGTTGATAGAGTAAGCATGAGATCCCCACGATTTCCACTCCATTACATGTTATATCAAAAATATAACCCTTTATTCAAATAGGAACGTATGAAAATTATTTACATGAGTGGTTTTCAACCAGGAGCAATTTTGCCTTCAAGTGAACATTTGGCAATGACTGGAGACATTTTTGGTTGTCACAGCTTAGGGGAGGGGTTGTTACTGGTATGTAGTGAGTAGAGGCCAGGGATGCAGCTACACATCCTATAATGCACAGGACAGCTCCCACAGCAAAGAATTATTTGGCCTGAAATGTTAATAGAGCTGACATTGAGAAACCCTGACAAACATTATTAACCATTGCATTTTTTTAATTTAAAAAATTTTTATTTATTTTTACTTTTTTATTGTGGTAAAATATACAATGATTTTTAAGTGTACAGCTCTCTGGCATTATGTACACTCACATTGTTCTACGATCATCACCACCATGCTTCCCAGGCTCTTAATTAGAGATTTTAATGGCTGGATGGGGCCATAATTACCATTTTTAACCACTGTATTTTAAAAATATAAAGGAAGATTAAAGAGAGTTTCTTTTTAAGAAATAAAAGTCTATGAGATTGATATTAGTCCAGCACGTACACCAAAGTTTAAGAAGATGTTTTCTAATGCACTCTAAAATGTGCAACTTCAAATCCAGACTCCTTCCTGTGTCACAGTCATGGGTCTGTTGATCTAAGATTTCAAGTCATTTCATTTATTTAGCTGACATTCTCTGAGCACTTAAGTTTTTGAGTGAATAGAGCCATGGACAGAAACAGATGAAAATCTCTACTCTCATACAGCTTACATTTTTGTTTATATAAATAAACAGGCAAATGAAATTAATTAAGGAATTAAATTTTTTTAAGGATGTGATAAGTGCCATGGAAAAAAAGACTGTGAAGGAAGATGAAATCATCAATTTGGGGGAGGAAAAACTTTCTGGGCAGAAATGTGAGTGAAGACTTAAAAGAGGTGAGGGAGCTGACTAAGCAAATATTGGGGAGAAGGACCTCCAGACAAAGGTCAGCAAATTCAAAGGTCTGACTTTGCCGGATGTGATAGAGGACCCGTGCGGAGGTCACTTGGGCAGGAACGTAGTGCATGGAGGTGAGGAAAGTAACAGGCCAGATCATGCAAAGCCTGTGTCCACCGCAAGGACATGGGAATTCCACTTTTATTCTGAATGAGGTGGGAAGCCGTGAAGAGTGGCAGAACGGGACTCTGGTCCAACAGGGTCTCGATGCTGTGTTGAATGGACCACATGAGGGCAAAGGTGGAAGCAGAGATCCCAGTTAGGAGGCTACAGCAGTAATCCACCGTCCAGACTTCTTCCTCATGTCCCTGTTTCTCGTGAAGAATAACTAACCCCAAACTTACCCTTTCATATTTTCTCTGCCCCCAAAAGCGCCTGTCAGCAGTCACCTTGGTTTGCTCATGCCAGTTCTCAGCCTCTCCATGGGTAATTAATGAGCCCCCTGCATGGGTGTTACCAGGCTAAAATATAACTAAATGCAAGATGATTTGAAGTCATAGAAATCATAACATGTCCTAAGGGTGTTTTGAAAATGAGGCCGCTGATTCTGCAGTGACAAGTTCAAGAAGTGTGATCAGCATGAAGTTAAAAAATGTGAAGGAACCTGCTGAAAAATTGGCCAGCAGGTCTCCTGGATTGCCTGCTTGGCAGGATGTTTGGATTCTTGATTACCACCCCGAGTTCTTCAATATGGCTAGAAGGCAAAAGGACAATTCATCATGCCCTCAGTTTGACAGAAGTCCCATGAATACACTTCTCATCCTCTCTCTGGAATAGTTGAAAGGGAATTTTTTTAAAAACCTTTTATTTTTTGTTCCCTGCAACTATATTACAAAACTTACTTCAATTTCAGGTAATTTTTTAAATGATTTTGCTGTTTTTTGATAAGAAAACAGAAAACTCAACTAAGAAAGGCTTAAGTAATTCAGGAATTTATCTCACAAACAACACAGGTTGGTAGACAGTGTTTTAAAGTCTTCAAGAACCCAGGTCTCTCCATCTTTTTTTTTGTTTGTTTCTTTGTTTTTGTTTGTTTGTTTGTTTTAGCGGTACGCGGGCCTCTCACTGCTGTGGCCTGTCCCCTTGCGGAGCACAGGCTCCGGACGCGCAGGCTCAGCAGCCATGGCTCACGGGCCCAGCCACTCCGCGGCATGTGGGATCTTCCTGGACCGGGGCACGAACCCGTGTCCCCTGCATCGGCAGGCGGACTCTCAACCACTGTGCCACCAGGGTAAGCCCTCTTTCCATCTTTTGACTCTGCATCTCCAATTTGTGAACCAATTCTCTTCAATATGGGGTCAGAGAGCTTCAGGTATATGTGGCTTAAAATAAAGAAAGCCCAAACCCCAGTGGAGAATAGATCCCTAGCCACACAGCCATAGACTCTGCCAGCAAAAGGAAAAGGTGTAAAGGATTTGGGAAGCAACCCACAATGCCTGCTAGCATTTCTCCATGAAATTTTATAAATGTGCACTTTATCACTCAGTCTCTTATGAATCTAAGTAGCTTGACTCAAGCCCTCAATCTTGTCTTTCTTGTCAGGAGCTGCTAAAAATCAAGGTTCTAAACTGGCAAAGCTGAGGAGCAGGGCTTGGGCAGTGGCCTCTGCCAGACTCTTCCAGAAAATCCAGCCTGAAACACACAAAGGGGCTTGATCACACGATACAAGAAAATAAAATCTACAGACCAATGTCCATCATGAGCATGGATGCAGAAGTCAGTAACGAATATCATCAAATCAAATGTAGAAATCAAATCAAATGTAGAAAAAATATAATACTGTACACAAATTGGATGATTATCCCTGGAATGCAAGTTTGGTTTTACATGTGAAAATCAAACAATAGAATTCACCATTTTAACAGATTAACTAGAGGAACAAAAGGAACACATTAAATATACAGGAACAGCATTTGAAAAAATTCAACACCCATTCATGATAACAATTCTCAGCAACTTAAGAATATAAATGATTATCGTTGTTCTGATAAGACATATCTGCAGAAAGCCTCCAGCTACTGTGATACTTAATAGTGAAAGTGAATGCTTTCCGTCTAAGATTAGGAACAAGGCAGGAATGACCCCTCTTACCACTTTTATTTGATATTGTATTGGAGACTTCAATCAGTAAAATAAAGCCAGAAAATGAAAGGAAAATAATGAAAAGGAAGAAGTACAATTGCCTTTATTCTCATATGACATGAGTATGTACATAGAAAATTGTCAGGAATGCACAGAAAAGCTTCTAGAACTAAAAAGTGTCTTTAGCTGGATGCAAATTATAAAAATCAATTTTATGTCTATATTCTAGCAATGAACAATTGGAAAATGAAATATTAA